TTATTAACACAAATTGTCATGAGGTGAGGCAGCGATATACACATCAAAGGGTCTGGTTTCATTTACAGAGTTCATTGTCAGATTGGAGAATTTGCCTACGGCTGTTCAGGTGTTTCGCCAGTAGGAGGCAATAACATGTAGATTAAGATGCCCTGAGCTGTCTGGCAGCAAGATAATCATTTTTTGCATCCTTTTCAGGTTTGGGGAAATGCCCTTTAGCCACTCCAGATGATTCAGCCCTTGCTGACATGCTGGAATTAGCTTTTGGCAACTTGCCACTTCATCTTAATTGGTTAATTTGATCATCTTTATAGTCGTGTAATATAGTTCTAGCAATCCATATATAACTCTAATCAATACAAGTCAAGCCGTAATTCAGATGAAGAAAGAGAAATGACTATTAAGAAGAAATGTAGCCGAAACCGGTTTGGCTCAGTGGATAGAGCATCGGCCTGGGGGCGCGGGGGGGCCCGGGGTGTCTCCGGGCAAGGGCACCTGCCTGGGTTGTGGGCTCGATCCCCTGTGTGGGGCCTGTAGGAGGCAGCCAATCAATGATTCTCTCTCATCATTAATGTTCCTCTCTCTCTCTCTCTCTCTCTCTCTCCCTTCCTCTCCTGGGTTGCTGGCACATCCCCAGTAGGAGATGTGCAGGAGGCGGCTGATCGATGTCTCTCTCTCATCGATTTTTCTGACTCTCTATCTCCCTTCCTCTCTGTAAAAAATCAATAAAATATATTTTAAAAAAAAAAAAGAAGAAGAAATGTATGGTGAATCTCTTCGTTTCTACTTCCGACCAAAAGGGGCTGCTGGCCTCTGCTCCTCCCGAAATCTGCATTTGGCTCAGTCCTGTCCCAAGAACATCTACTTGTTCATTAAGTGTCCTGTTGGTGAATGATCTATCTGGACCATGCCACAGCGCAATGGGTGAGGGAATTGCAAGAATCCTGGCAATATTGGTCAGTTCTAACAGAATCTGAGGTACGAGACTGTGCAGGGCTATGGAGTCAAACAAGGATGCAAGTTTAGTAGGTTAGTTAGTTTAAGTGTATCATTTTTTGCTGATATAGGGAAGGGAAGTTTGTTTTGTATATGATTACTTCCCTCAGGAAGATGGATGGGTTCATGTTTTACTTGATTTTTTATTTTTATTTTCTAATGAACTTTAAACTCCATGGCTCACTTCCTTTTTTTCTTTCATTATCAAATCACTAAGGAACACCCACAATAGACATGGTGCCTTCCCATGAATGTCACCCTTGGTCCTATACACCTGCCCAGTCTCTTTCCTTTTTTTTTTTCTTAAACAGCTTTATTGAGGTATACTTCACATATCCCAAAATTTACCCTTTCAAAGCATATGATCCAGTAACTTTGAGCATATTCAGAATTTTGCAATCATTTCCACAACTTAATTTTAAAATTGTTTCATCAAAAGAAGCTCCATACCCACTAGCAGTCACTCCCATTACTCTGCACCCCTTCATTCCTAGGCAACCACTAATCTTCTTTCTGTCTCTATAGATCTGCCTATTTGCAGGTTTAATTAAAATGGAATCATACAATATGTGGTCCTTTGTGTCTGCCTCTTTCACTTAAGTTAACCTTCTTGAAGCTGCTCTTTCATAGGCAAAGTTGTCCATCAATCCACTCCCCTGCATGTGTTTCAGTTTAAGAAACTTAGGAACCTTTCCAAACCTCACTTTTATCTTCACTTTTAGACATCTACTTTCATTCACTGAAATAAAATATTAGGGTACTTATGCAAAATGTGATACAGGTATATATAGCATTGTCTTTTTTAAAAAATTAAATCTTCATTGTTCAGATTATTACAGTTGTTCCTCTTTTTTTCCCCCATAGCTCCTCTCCATCCTCTGCCCTTAATCCCCCCTCAATGTCCTCATCCTGTACGATTTTTGTCCAGTCTCTTATCACACACCCCCAACCTTTTCCCCCCGAGAATTGTCAGTCCACTCCCTTTCTATCAC